CATGAGTGTGAGAGCGTACAGGGAAACATGCAGTCTTACCACACGAAAGGGACTCCACAGCATCTAGCAACTAATCTGTCCTTCAGTATTAAGTTCCTGCCCTCTAAATATGTAAGCTCTGTAATAGCTTACTTCACTAACAACCAACTACTCTGGAACTATGACAACATCCTCATAACATTCATACTGGATAGGGAGGTAAACTTTGTTGTTCCTACAGCTGGAATTACCGAGGTCTACAAACATGGATCTTTCTACGTCAATTCTATACTGATGAGTGTTGGAATAAAACCAAGACCAGCATCCAAGACTTGCAACAGTACCACTCTTCTTCTCAGAAGAAGAAACTGCATAATGTAGAGGTATGTTGTAATTTAAAAAAGAAAACAAACAACAAAAAAACCCCTCACTATCACCAAAAAACCACTTATCTCTACTACCTTAGAGTACCCTGGCATTTTCAATGTAGTAAACTCAGTAGTTTACACTGGGAGTAAGATGCCTCCATAGGTTGTGATGGCATATTCAGAAACACATCGTATCAGACTAATTCTTCTCTTATCAAAGTGAGTGACAGCACTCAGAAAAATCCCACCTACCATGTCCTTCCTTAGTCTCACAGGCTCTAAGGAATACAGTTATCTGTGACATCATTTTCTTCCAGCAACCTTTCTTAAGGGAGTAGTTGATAAAAGCCACAAGAGAACACAGTGTTATCTGCACTCTGCACTGGAAGTCATCTCTGGTACAAGCAGAGGAGAATGATTATCAGAAGATGGTGGTCACTATTTCCTCAAATGTCACTGCATGGCTACTGCTCCTTTACAAATTTTGCTAAGTATCACTCTTGGAGGCATAGTTTCTACAAAGAATATCAGATCATGGTAAACTAAGAAGTAGCTTGAGATTACAAATTCAGCCCTTGCTATACATGAGTACCGGCATATATGACCTTCAACAATTGTCACAAGAACAGAACAAACACCTCATTATCTTCATTACAGCATTGAAAGCCCCAACTGTTAGTAATTCTAATCAGCTTTGGCAAAAGCTATTTTAACACTCAGGGCAGTGAGGAAGGTAGAGAATCAAAGTCTCAGTCACAAGAATATTACCATTCAGACATGGCTAATCTTATTTCTACAAAATAAAGCTATCATCTCTCAAAAGAAGCTAGTTAAGACAGCAAGACAAGAACCATTAAACTTACAAATTAGAACTCCTAATCCTTGAAGCGTATGTTTGACTAAAAAAAGAAGTGAGCACAGACCAGAAAGATAAACAAAGGTTTAGCAGGACAAGCAATATGTCTAAAATGGAAGTTGCTCAAAGAGAACTCTTATTCTTTTAATTATTTCTGCCGTGCATGAGATTAAAATAAAAAAAGGCAGGTCAGGCTTTGAAACATAAGGCCCATACTGTGTGGCTTTTCTATATTACATCACACATTTCTCCTTTAAGACCTAGACTTCTGTATGAGAAACTCGTGAATTTAAAATACTATGGATTCTAGTGTCTTATCTCTTTTAATTGCTTACTGGAATGGACTCTGTTGAAGAGAAGTAAAAGCAGGCAGCTTACATTTTTCACGTTTGCCTCAGGCTACTAACAGAAAAATTCAGGACTTTTTTGAAGGTATGTCAGTAACAACGATGTGTCACATGTCATTACTTTATAATTAGGCTGATAGCCAAAAAGAATAATGCAGCTGATATTCTATTAAAATCAAAAGTATTCCCCAAGGCATAAAAACACTGGCACGAGCATCTTAAAAGGCCGTGTAAAAAATGATATAAAGAACTATTTTTCTGTGCTGCTGTCTCTTCCATCACAGATTCAAATAAGAAATTCTAAGTTATGCATGCATTGAATATTTAATTATCCTATGCTGATTTAAAAACAAATATTTCATATCTGAAAGCAAAATGCAATGAAACCCCTCTTTGTCTATGAATACAAGTTACTACGAGAATAACAGGCTATCTACACTGTGTGTTACTCTAAATTAGAATTGCATAATTCATCTTTTTCACAAACCAAATACCTTTTAAAAAATAGAAACAATAGAAAAGTGTTTGCAATTTACTTGAAGTGCAATAGTGATTCTAAAATTATTCAGGCCTTAAATAGTGCATTTGTAAACATCAACATTTCATTCTGTAAAAGTTTTCCTATAAAATGCTCCTGACAGAATCAGGATTTAGGAAATCCAGGGCTGTAACTCCATGTGGTTTAGAACATATTTAGTTCAGATTGTGTCTGGCAGTTACACAGTGTAGTAGAATTATCAGATTACAGAACTGTGGTGTATAGCCAAAGTATTGGTCTTCACTCAGCATGCCCAAACTTCAGTTCTTCGTTAACACAACTAGTAAGAGATGCCCCATCTATTCCTTGCAGATACACATATCACAAAATGTGTGCCATTCCATCTGTCAATGTTGTGTAAACTACTGGAAGGAAGCATGTCCGCATTTGTGGATTTCAGCAACATTATTCAAAATATAAGTCTTCAAATTCAGTTTCTTCTGAACCCAGCCAATAGCACATTTACATTTTTTTCTAACAACTATTAATACTTTTCCAGTTCAAAAAAAAAAAAAAAAAATTCCTTCATGAAGCTGGCAGGTCTAGTTCTTTGTTCACTCTGCACAGTGCTTTCATTTCCAACACAATGACAGACAGAGGAGTATTGTGTTTTCAAATGTATTACAAGGAATCCTGTGATTTAGTTGTTGCTATTAAAGAATTATATTCAGAGATGATATATTCTGAAGTGAAATTTTCTGCCTATCTATTCTCCTCTTCTGTTCTAGACACAGAATTTATAACACATTTGATTTCAGCAATATCACACTGCAGAAAAAGGCAGGTGACTTATAAAAAAAGTTATCTATTATTTTGTTGCCTGTTCCTTGAATACTGCCAAGGAAGGACTGCTTAATTTTCTCTCTGTACTCTAACACCAGTGTGCACAAGCTTAAATGATCTTTTGATTCACCATGCTATAAAAATAAGTTGATATGTACAAAAATATATATGGCAGGTAATGCTGCAGAAGGTCAGCACTCTTCAGAATTTTAATACTCAGTGCACCACTTGCAATTTAGTGACAACATGAGGACCACTGCTACACTAGAAGACACAAACTGGTATCATCCATTTATCCCTGATTTACAGAGAAATGAAAAGGTGTTTGTTTCTTTGATTTGCTGAGCATACACCTGAGGTTTTGTGTCCTATCTCCCCTCCCCTTTTTCAAATTTCCCCTGCATCACTAGGATTCTCATCACTTGCCTCAGCAGTTACATTTCAACCTGAAGGCTGCTCAGAGGCAACGCTAAATTTTGGCATGAGGTCACACTGAACATAATGGGTCACAAGCTTGACCAGTTCCTCAGACAAAGCCACCACAGGAGAAGAGAAACAGTTTCTCTGTGTTCCCCCTTTGTGTACCAAATAAGCTAAGAAAAGACTAATTTCTCAGCACAAAAGTACATGGAAAACGTGGAAAGATTCTGTTTAGAAAGATAGAAAACCTATAAAGAACAGTATAAGCTTTGGTATATTGCTTTCAATATATGCAGCATATTTTCACATTTCAATTCGTGCATACAATTGCATTTTGAAACACACTTGTGGTGTTCACGGCAAGATAACCCTGTATTTTTCTAGATACGCATTCTTACAGAGATGGATAACTAAGGTGAAGTTCACAGATTCATTACTGTATGTAAAAAGAGCCTAATTTTTCAAAGTAGAAAGTACAATCAACTAACTGAAAATCAGCAACATAATTGCAAATACAGAAAAAAGCATTCATCAGACTTCAATTAGAGACTATTTTTTAATTTCTAGGAAAAGACACCACAGTTACTGTTGATACCTCAGTTCACCTCAAAGACTAAACTGAGTACATATCAGATGCTTTCTGTTACAGTTAACTTACAAAAAGTCAACACCTTTAACAAAGTAATTCTTTTTCCACTTGATAAAAACAACCACAAACAAGTTTGAAAGCACTGTGTTCTAGGAATAAACAAGTAGTTGCACAATTACGTATTTAACTTTGCTGTCACAAACTGTTTTTCCTCCCTTATCATTAGAATTTATTTTGTTATTATTTTTTTGAGAAATGCAATTAAAGCTTTATAAAAAAATAAATGTACAAATGCATCTCAAAATTCCCAAGCATTTATGTCACTTAACTGAAAGCACAGTGGCTAAATAAACCCCACTACAGGACTTCAATGTCTTGAAATTTGTGTATTGATGCTATTAGAATAACTACATTAGAAATCCTTCCCAGAAAGAATCCCTGGAGTGTGTTTGGTTTTTTTACGTTGTGGCAACTGCAGATAAGTAATATCTTAAACCATTTTTTCCCTTCATAGGAAATAAGTAAATGGTTCTGACTTCCCTGCACTCTGAAAATCTTTGCCCAGAGACAGAAATAGAAAATATTGTATTATACAGTTAATATTTAGCTTTAAAATATATGAATTCATTTTACAAATAGATTTTACAGGTGAACACTTAAAACATGTTCCAGTCTCTGGCACATCACCATCATCATATATCATATGTATCAATGCAGAAAGTGAATGAAATGCATCACGTATTTCAAAATGACAACCAACTGTTTCTGAACATGATACAAAGTTGACATGTGTGCATATTTTACCATTTAAAACAACAGATCCAGTAATTTCTCAAAATAAGAGCCACTAGTAGCACCTGGGATATAGATCTACTATGCACATGCCCTTTAAACTGCATTAAACAGCACAAATGTCAGCAGACATTCCAAATCAGTGACAGGTGATCATGCTCTGAAATCAGACCATTCCATTCAATGCAAAACACATCATCATCATCATCTATTCATAAAATTGGAGAGAAACAGCAAAAATAATGGCTTCACATGCTAGGCAAAGAGTCCAGTATTTCACCATTTCCTGAAGTCCCTTCCTCAGCTTTTGAAAAACACAAAGGCTTACCTTTCTATATACCAGCATGTTTGGGGATTCATCAGCCACCCCGTTGCTGCTTTGCCCATAATTATTTCCTTGTGCCATGTCCCAAAGATTTGATCCGCTTTTGAACGTTGCACTGTAAAAGGTAAAAGTGGTTTCAGTAAGATGTCACCTCAGGTCTCCTTCCTTCCCTGATGATTAATGGACCTGACTTTCTACCAACATGTTATGAGAATCAGTGTATGCTCTTACTCAACGGATATTTACATTGGAGCAAAGCTACTAATTCACCATTTACTGTCATTACTCTCTTTTGCCTGTAAATAATGAATGTAATATGTTAATCTAATTTAGACGTTAATGAATTGTCACTCCGAATAGCTCTCTGACATACCACTAACAACCATATCATGCAGACGCCTCCTCACAACGCGCTCCCTCCTCCCCTGCACAGACTTCACCGAGGGATGATCCGCACCTTCCAGACCCCCGGTTTGGGAGGACTGACTCGGCCCATGACTGTATCTTCAGCTGTGTCCTCTCCTCACAGCTCGGGCCCTAGCAACTTTCGCAACCCTCAAGCACACAACGAGCAAACCACATGCTTTAAACTTCTCTTTAAATCACGAACACGTGTGTGCTCTCGCACACATGCTGGGGGAGGGAAGCAGGTGACAGGGGTGAAAGGAAAAAACAAGCCAGTAAACCCTTCCAGTTGCTTTCACCTACTTTCATCGTACTACACCGCAAAACACCGGCTCCGCCGCCAGCCCCGTCTCTTCCCCGCCCTCCCCCCCGGTCACACGGGAGCTGCACTAAGCAAGAGCTCAGATCATGCCGTAGCTGTGGCATCGCACGCAGGTGTAAGAATGTGCTCCATCTACAGACCACACCGGGGCGGCTGCGGAGAGCTCGGACCCGCCGTTTCAGCACCGCGGAGAGCAGCGGCGGCGCCGCCCGTGCCGGGGCCGCGGAGGGTGGCGGAGCGCGGCTCCCCGCCCGGCGGCTCCTTTACCTCCTGGGCCAAGGTCACTGCGCGGTGGCCGCGGGTCCTCGCCTCCTCCTCCTGCGCCCCTGCGGTCGGTGTCAGCCGGCAGCGGGCGGAGGGACGCGGTGATCGCTCATCACACACACGCACTGCGGGCGGAGGCGCGGCTGCTGCCGCTGCTGCCGCCGCCGAGGCTGCGGCTCTCCCCTGCTCTGCCGGAGCGGCGGCAGCTCAGCTCCCTCTCCGCAATGGAGCGGCCGTCACGTGGGGGACGGGCACGTCAAAGGTGCTGCTGCTGTTGCTGCCGCTCCGCCACACAGCAGCTCTCCTCCTCCTCCTCCTCGGCGCTCTCGGCTCGCTCACCGAAAACAGCGGCCAAGAAAATGCAGCTGCCAGCAGATCTGGCAGCAGCCCCCGTAAATGAGATTAGGCAGCGCTGGAGGGCTGGGCAGGAAGAGAATATGGGCTAATGGGATAGAGAAGGAAGGGGGGGAGCTGGTGGTGAAAGACACGGGTGGGGAAAGTGTGTCACCTTCTACTTCTTACTCCTTTACTGACAGCAACCGGGAATCTGCCTGTTCCCTGCCTTATGCTGGACGCTTCATGTATTTCTTTCAGTGAGAACCAGGGAGAGCTTGTGCCGTGTTGGCACTGCAGACCTCTCTGAGCAGTGGAACAGCGAGAGCAGAGAGCAAGTCTGTTCCAGCTGGATAGGCAGGAGCCCTGAGGACATTTCAGGACACCCTCAGGGCTGTTTTGCTATGTCCCAGGCAAGCGCCTAATTTGTCAAGGCCTAGAGCTGACCATGATAAAAAAAAAAAAAAAGAGAAATCAGGTCTGTAAGTCACACTTCCTCATCATATATAGACAAGAATGCTTTGATTTTCCAAACAGGTTGAAATACCCAGAACTAAACCTCCACTAGAACACAAGATACTTAAGTGATTGAGCTTTGGGACATTCTCATTTGAAAGTGCAATTTCTGGAAACAGTAACTTATTACAAGGATTATCTTGCAAAAGAAGTCATCTTCTACTGTGCAATGCACCTTACAGAGTGCACACTGGTAAACCACACAGCTCAAGCACAGAGATTTCCACGCATACTGTGTCAGCTACTCTCTTACTTTTTCTACCTTTTTCACATCTTAAAGAGACTCAAGTCAACACTACCCTGCTACAAATTTGCTATTACCAGCTACTGCAACTACTTTTAACTACTATTCCAAACTTTGCAGTGGCCTTCAAATCCTTTAACAGAGAACGTGATAAATTAGCTAAGGCAACAACAGGGAGTCACAGTGGCCACAACAAAATGAAGGAGAAAAGACAGGGCTGATCTGGACTTCTTGGAGAGATGAAGAAAGGAAGAAATAGGTTTGATAATGGTCCTAAAATAACCACCAGATAGATGATCTCCAACATGAATAGAAATGTTCTTCAGAGAGAGAAGTATTAAAAGGTGAAATGACACAACATAGAATAAGAATCAACACCTCAGTTCAGTGGGATATACTGGCAGGAAAGGAAAGGAGCTCTGTAGCAGACAGAGACCATATGTCTCAACTTTTACAGCGGAGAGTAATTTAATATGTCACGGGAAAAATGCAATGTGGAAACAAATTATGTGGACAAGACAAAAATCTGAGGTTTGAGATGGAAGAGAGATCAACACAAGTGAAAAAGACACAAGAGGAAAGGAAAGAAGTATCAATGGTGAAAACAGGGGGCAAAGAAAATTAGGGAACTAAAGAATAAACAGAGAACTGAGAAAAGGCTTGTTTCCCATTAAAATCCATTTGACATACAATGGCATCTCGATGAGGCTAAGCAATGAAATCTGAATCAAAATATTAATCTTCCAACAGACCCTGTGATTCAGTCCAGTGTTGAGAAATAGGTACCAGCAATAAAGACCTCATTCCATAATTTCCCTAGTTTTCACACACACATCCTAAATGAGCAGCACTGCAGTGTTCTGATCTCACAGATTTGACTATGTAAGACTGACAGGTGGACTGGAAGTCAAGGGAAATGCCTCCTAAGATCTGTTAAGAACACAACCCTTGTGGCTGTATGGCTTCAAAATAAACTCAAAAATCTTATTTGTCAGACAGATGTTTAAATTTCTTTTGAGAGTAAAAATGAGAACTACACAAAATATGTTTTAAATGCAATTTTACCCTAAAAGAGGGATAATAGACATATTCCTTCCCTTTGTTCTGCCAGGCAACACTTAACATAGTAATTGTGTTAAAGGGCATTAAAAAAAAAAAAAAAAAAAAATCAAACATTAGCAAGTTTTCAATGAAGTCACACATTTGTTTTCTTACTCTACCTCATCTTGTTACTAATCCAAGTGGGGGAAAGAAAAAAAAAAAAAAGAGTAAATGAAACTCTTTTATACTGCAATTCTTTAACTACATACATGAAGTTGTTTACAAGATGACTCCAATGTACCTATTTATTATATGCTATTCAGCAAATGGATTTCGGCAGGGGTTATGTGTCTTTGAAAAAATCCCCAACAAAGGCAACTAATTTAGGCAACAACATTCCCAAGCTTTTATTTTCTGAGAATCTCTTCAAAAATAAGCAGTCAGTTTTAGCTATACTGCCTCCAATCTTGACTTTGCTTTAATTTTGCTTTAACCATTTCAATTAATTTCACAAAGTAAAATACAAAATGCTATACTAGCTAGGTAAGGTTTATATATTTTCTTCTAAAATAATCAAATTTCATTATTCTAAATTATTTATTAATTATAAAGCAAGTATGTAGACAGAGCAATGACTTGGGCCTACTGAAGTCGACAGCTGTTTGTCCAGTAACACCAAAAGGACCCATATTTCACACAAAGTCTTTAATCTTGCTCTCAGAACCAGAGGAATAACTTAAGCACCCCAGCAATGTGCCTCATAACTACAGACTTGCTACGCTGAAGCAGACGAAAAATTTTTCCATTTCACCAGCATGTCCACTATCAAAATGAAATAAAAGCTGTAAACACTGAAAGGGTTAAACAGAAGAGAAGACCAGAAACAACCCAACAGAATTTCCATTTTGTGACCATTTGGTGGTCTAGCTGTAAACACTGAAAGGGTTAAACAGAAGAGAAGACCAGAAACAACCCAACAGAATTTCCATTTTGTGACCATTTGGTCACCTTCCATAAATGCACATAAAAAGAAAATAATTATTTTTAAAAATACTTAACTGGGTAATCTCCTTCTAATGCAGTTGGATGTGTTTGTTCAATAGCCTATAAAAGGCTTTAATTCATAAATTACTTACACATCTTTCCCATGTTGAGAGTCATCACTTATCTCATACACAACCAGCATTAGCATCCCCAGAAAGCATAGTCTGCCAGAAGAGGAATGGCCTGTTTCAAAATGCAAGGCAAAACTACTCATTAATAAAACAAAGATGATGGGAAAGGCTGCCAAGGGGCAGCTTTATCTAACAAGGCAATAAAGGACACATGATTTAGCAAGGTGGCAACTACATTTTCTGTTTAGTTTGCATTGTCAATACAACTCAAGTATTCCAATAACGTCATATGCACACAGTACACATAACACACATGCATTTTTAAGTCAAAATAGATTGTCATGTACCTCCTGACATGATATCTGGGTGTGAAAGAGATCAGGAATTTTTTTTGTCTGTCCTGCTGATCAGTGCTGTAGCATCATGTCAGTAAGCTAACTATATCCATCAATTTATCTCAGCTATGCCTAGACTGAATGTTCCTCGGGGTAAAGACACACCGCGTAAAGTTTTACCACAGCATGATCCTGTTTCATGACCAAGTCTTTAAAACATTACAGCGTTATAAACAATCATATTCAAATTTACTAAAATAACACAACCATTTTGGTTAACCAGGCTCTAAACACTGACACATGTTAATACTGTAGTACTTTAAAGTATAAAACCCAGGGGTTTTTCTACTAGCTTGCTTAAGCACAGAGATGGTCCATCTACTTTAGTTGACCTGATATATTTGTGACTCTACAGAACCACAAGCGTTTCAGTGCCAGGCTCTGAACTGATAGCTTGCGGATTCCAGGCCCAATCCTTGGCCTTTCTGATGAGATTTGAACACCTGCTCCTTCAGGAGTGAATTGCAATCAATCCATTTAATGTAGGTCTTCAAATGTCATTCAGATGATTACAGGTTACAGTATATATTTGTTAGAACTGAACCCATGACTGACTTATAACTCCACCACTTCCTGCATGACACTTTTTTTAAGCCCTAGGCATTTGGTTTATCACCTACCTGCCAACCCTATTGAAACACAAATTACCTTTGTCAATATATGATGCTGTCGATCAAAGCTATTTGTACTCTGTTGGTAAGAGCAAGGGCTAAAAAAACAACAAAAAGAGGACTTTTAAACAGAAGAGAATGTAACTAAAAAGCAATCTGGATTTAACATGAACAAAACTGAACTGATAGAATAAAAATAAGTTAGTCATGGACAGACATAATTTCACAGGAATAGAAAATTATGTGAAATAAGGAAGGCCCACTTTTCCATCATCTTTTTTTTTAAAGTATGATATATATATACACCCCATACATATCACACAGTGTGATTTGTATATATTTAATGTAACTCATTTCATCCCCTATTGAAAAATGTAGATTATTACTATCATAGAAAATCTACAGCTACATAGAATTTGATATCAATATGGTGCCCCACCACAGCTATCCATAGAAATTCAACAGCTTCTTCAGACAAAGCAGAACAACCTCAAGTACTCCTACTCAGTCTTGACAATTAAGCCAGTTCTAATTATATCCAAAAGAGGGCAGTCTTTCTCAGTCAAAGAGAAAGGTTACATTAGTTATCTGCTACACAAGTTTTTTTCCCACAGAAAAAACTACCACAACCAGCTATACACCCTCATTTCCTCAAAAAAGTGAGAGCATTTGGAGAAATGAGACATATTACACTGTATTCCTTTAAAACTGCCCGGAAGACTCAGGATTAATCACTTCTGATCTTACATCCATGTTACCGACTAGATAAAACAAGCAAGCATGTAGCAATAGAACTAATCTCCAGAAAAAACGTTGGGATTTGAGTCAAATATGATCTCATCATGCCAACATCCTTGATTCAAGCAAGGTTCTGAATACTGGTCTCCCAACTCCCAGAACAGCTCTCAGACAGGCTTTTTCATTTTGTGTAAAAACATTATTGACACAGAACAAACCAAGAGTTTCAGGAAATGGGACACTTGGTCTCTGCTTCAGATAAAATATTTAAAATAAGGGTGTATTGCTCTCAGCATCTCTTAGTATTTATGACAGTCTCCTGAGAGGCAAAGATGAGAGATTTATAGCTTAA